TTTGGTTTGGAGACAACCAGACACAGCATCTCTGCCCAAAAGCCAAAGCAGGGTGCTTTATGGTTAAAGTTGCTCTTTATCATTTTCATTGTTGCAGAAGTATTTCTTTATTCTAAAATAATTAAACTGGTTTTGTATTTTGAAAATATCTGAGTAGAAAGCAGGTCTACTTTTTATCTAGCATATCTGTGCTCTGTAAGCCTTAACACACACGCACTCATCAAGAAAACGTATTCACAGAAACACTTTTAAATGCACGCAGAGCCCAGTAAACAGCCACACACACTGTCATCAGGGCAACACAAACAGAAATGAAAGCCAACAACTGACTTGGATCACAGCCTTGAGTGGCTAATGAACCCTCCAGAGGCTCCTGCCTCTGGATACGAGGTGAGTGGGTCATTCCCATGTTTATTCAGCAAGTCCAATGAGACGCCATCATCTATTGATTGACCTGATTATGCTACGGCTCCCTCGTCTCAGGACACACACATGACAGATGAACCCGACTCGGGCAGGTCACACTTGATGGAAAGTCACTGAACCTGACGGCTGATCCGGCTGGTCAGCTTGCGTGATCCACGTTGCGGCCATGTTGGCGAAACGCTCCGGGTTCAGCGGCTGAAGCCTGGACGCTACGCTACAACGAGGAGCTCCGCAGGGACAGCGGACACCTACGCTTTCAGGGAGAGTTTGGACAATCATTGTTACTTTTGCCATAGACAAAAAAAGAAAACAAGAATGGTGATGAAGAGCAAGACCGCTGGTATTCTCCAGAGAAAATCAAAACACATGTTGTCCATCAGCAAGGAACATAACTAGCAAAACATGCCAGAAAGAAATATAGTTCGATAGTAAGATTATATTAAACTGAGAAAATGAGAAGTCCATACATCAGTCATGTGACTCATATGTTCATAGATGAGAATTCATGTAACCATTGAGTAGAATGAAAAATATTAGACATACCACACCCCACACAAACATATCATAGACTATCCACAGTATCGAGTATTTTTCTCTCATTCATTCAAAAAGCATAATAATCATACAGCACACTGACATTTTGTCTGTTGCTGCTTTAGTGTAAAACTATCCCGAGTTATGACATTCTTTCAACTATTTCTGTGTAAACTGTTTGATTTCCACAAAGGGTTTGACTTGCCAAACTGTGTAAACATGCCAATCCTAATATATGAGCAAAGATCAAACAGTCAGGACAAGGTAAAGGCATGTAGATGAAAAGCACAGCGGCAGACAAATCAGCGCGCTCCAGAGCACACACCGCCGATCAATGAAGGACCCGGGGCCGCGGGCCAGCGCTATATTACACACCAAAACTTCATATTCATTCATTGATTTTACTTTTCATAATAGTATATCATTGAGCTCCAATGGGAGCAAAAGCAGAGGGCGGGCGGGGTCAACTCTCACATGGATGCCTGGATGGATGTTTGCACAATATTGATGGCCCACGCAGAAAGAAATGACTAAATATCTGGATCAATAGCTCGTTTCCTTTGCTGCGACAGGTTGTTCCAGGAGGAAATATATAAATACATCTTTATGGCTGCTGGAGAAGTGCTAACTAACGGTGTTAAATGCACCCCTTAAGCTAAACCCTTTGATTAGCCGAGGCCAGAGGTGACAAGAGGGGTCTGCGGATCATTGGATGCCACGCTTTGGTTGGCCTTGGGATGCTAATGCACACAGAGGCACAATAAAGAGACCAAGGATAGAGAAAGTCACTAGCCCGGGGCAAGAACTCCCCACCTTCCTATTCATTTGTACCTCTGATGGGCTCGGGCTCCACCATGCCAAGTCATATTGAATTATGCATAGTGTGAATAATCTAGAAAACAAGTTTGCTTTACTAAGCTACCACTGCTAGAGATGGGAATGTCTTGGGTTTAAAGAAACAAATAAGGGAATATGCGGATCACACGGTAATGAAATCAGGCCAAGCGGCCATTGCATCCTGATGCCGCTGATGGTGGAAAGGCTGCCTGTTCTTATTTACGGTACAACACAATTACTGAGAACAACATCCGACCTCACAGCTTCCTCAGTTTCACAGTGGCCAGCGGGGCCATAAAGAGGGAGGAACCACATCATTGCCCACGTCTTAATTAAATGAAAGCTGCTCAGTCCATTTACTTCCTTTTTTACACAATGAACTAACCAGCCCACCAATGAGGACCTCCCAGACGCCGTCCCTGCTTGGCCCTAATTCATGACCGGGTGAGCTTGCCCAGAAGGTCCCTGCTGGACAAGCAGCAGCCCGGCCAGCACACGGCGTGCGGCGCGTCGACACCAAGGCAGCGATAAGTAATTCTGTAGAGGATTAGCAGCATGATAGCCTGATCAATACTGTGTGCTCAGGCCATTAGGAATGCAGCGAGGAAATGACCCCCTCTGGTAATAAAGCAGGGCATCTGGGTTCTCCTTCATTTGCCAGCTCCATTAGTGTAATGGCATCATTATCTGCCACAACCGTATTTTTCTAAGCCCTGGCTTTTCCACAGCCTGACCAGCGGGGGTCTGATGAAGCTCTGAGAGCCCCCATGCAGAGAGTTCCCCTTTCCACCATTCCGCACAGAGTCTTGGTGTAAATCTAGCTCTGCTGGAGCTTACGTGCTTCCCTGCCCTAGGTATACATACCCATGTTTTATGTCAACACCTAACACTATTTCTCCATTATTGGCTCATTAATAGCGGGAGAAGCATGTAGGCTGGGTTTGGGGGGAGAGAAAGATGGCCGGCAGAGCACAAAGCTGCTGAATGTGCTGAATGTGACACCCCCCTCTTGCTAAAACACCGGGCTCGACATGACAGGACATTGGCATTAGTTGCCATAAATCGTTTCCTTTACACTAATTCAGCAGCTAACATTTTGTGGGGGAGAATTGATTAACCATGTCTGGACGTGTGGCTACATAATCAGCTTTTACCTCACTAGCTGTTAATTTAACAGGACTGCCAAGGGAAACACAAACCATTTTAATGAGTGTTTGGAAATTAAATACCCCAAACAGCTTGCACTAGGTGCCACAACTGGAGCAAAGCAATGAGGCCGATCTAAGCAATGGGCCGGGCGGAGCCCAGGACCTCACAACATCTGGTGACCCTGTGTGATCATTACTTAGCCCGCCGCTTACGCACACACTTCCTGTTTCGACACAGCACTTCATACTTGTCATCGCTGTCCAAATGGTGAGCTCGCATCAAAGGCAGCACTACAACACCGGGTTAAGGGACAGGGCCGGTGCTGTCTTCACACTCGCCAAAGCATGAGTGGGAAGTCATCCTGTGATGACAACGCTGATAAAACACTACCAATGTTTTCAGCTCATTAGAGTATGGGGCGGATCAAATTCTTCTTCAGATCACTGAGGGTACAAATTGCACTTTCATCGCTCACAATGTGCTGTATTCTGTTTGATGGAAAGAAAAGCACACAATCATTTTAACTCTGCATGCACGTATTACCTGATATGACAGGGATATGTTTAATGGGCCAAATGCACCAATGTTTGTTCTTATTGTTAAACTAAAAGCATAACATTTTTACATTGTGGGAGCCTACTGTATCTCACTTGTAAATGATAACCAGAAGTAGCGTAGTTCTATTTCCTCCACAGACATTTGGACACAATCTGTTACGGCTCACCATTGGAAATAAAGGGCACCAATCATAATAATGCATCTCTTCCTTTGTGCAGCAGTAAAAATAACTCAGTTACGGAATGAGACGGCCATCATTTCCAAAGTATGAGCTGACTACATCATTATACAACTACCGATATTGTGAAAAGTAGCCAAAGCGCACGCAGCTCCCTCTTTGGCTGCTACGCAGTCATGCTGTCGATTTGCAATTATAATTCCTCTTGCTCATCCCTTTATTTATCTAAAAGGAAAGGAAGCAAAGGCACTAGGTCTGCGCTGTGCTGCCTGTCTGCCTGAGGGCCAGCTGGAATGACTTCTCTCTCTGAGCCGCTCATCTGGCCTCCATGGCTGCTTTCATAAACAGGAGGAACCACGTCTTACATAGTTTCACTCCTGTCTAACATGATCCAAACACATGTGCCACAGGAGACAGCGTCCAAGTGGGGAGATAAGAGGAGAAAGAGGCAGGCCAACGCTAGGAAAGACGACCGTAGGTGCGATAGCCCCAGAAGCGGTGTGAGCGGCTTCCCTCCACTCCTTTCATATCTCCATATCCTGCAAAGTTATCATTTCATGGCCAGTAAAAATCGGATGAAGCCTGGACCTGCCCAAAACACCAGCATTTAGTTAACATAGAGTCCAAACACAAAGACATCCTCATGTTTAACCCCAACCGAGATACATCTGGCATCTGTAGAGAGAGTGGGCTTTTTTAACAACGGTATGGAGAACATTAGGCATGTAAACGAGTGTTCCTCTCATATAGGATATTATCAGCTGTGTGGGGCAGCTGTGCACCACTGGCCTGGCACCTGGCCAAACCCTCCATCCGCTCCACGTTAACTTTACTATTGGCTTTATTATCGCACTGAGCTGATCAACAACAGACTCATTTATGTCCTATCCACGCCGGAATAACCTCCCACATTAAGGTACAGCGTTCCTTTCTACTCATGTTCTGACTTTAATGTTAATATCACAATTGTGCTTCAATCACCTCCCAGATGCTGCTGGACTCTAGCGTATTTCCACCTAATGCACCGTGTTTTAACGCTTTGCTCTACACCCTACTGCTTCCTAACAGAAGCATTTCTTCGTGATTTAAAAAGAAAGGTCTATATTTCCATGTTTCTGTCATTCTTCATTGTGGTAGACTGTGAGGGGGAATTGAAAACACAATAAAGGAAACAGGCAAGGTGAGGTATGCGCTGACATTTCCGGCTTCGGAGCCTCCAAAATGCAGCCAGCAGCATCGCATAAGGAGCATTAAACATTCACCGAGCGACAGGGCTTAGAAATATGCCAGACCTAATGGAGAAAAACGCTATCAATACCTTTCTTCTCTTCTCCCTCTCACTGTCACCCGATCTTTTCATGTTCCTGGAGTTGTGTTTACACTGCCTCGTTTTCATTAGGGGCGATGTTGGTTGTTGTAGTACACGAATAAAAGCCATTGCGACTTTTTCCCCGTGTACGACGAAGCCCAAATTAGAGAGGGCTTTGTTTGACTTCGGTCAAATCCACGCCGTCGACAGGTCCAGAGCAGACCATTACGCGAAAATGTTTGTGGTTGGACAACCTAAAATAGTAAGGGCAAAAACTACAAGTCCCAGAGTGAAGGGTAGCGCGCAGCGGAAGTAGCTCCGGCACGCTCTGAATGTTGCACTGCGCAGGTGCGGCGCAGGTATACTGCTGTCCATAGAAGCCAGGCATCCAGAACGGCTTTAAATCAATGATGTCATATTTACTGCCTTTAATATAGCTGTGCTTCTAACTGTTATTACTAATAGTTTCAGTAGTTTGGTATTATTTAGAATTTATCAAAGGGGTATTTTAGTCATGAACATTAAGCATTTTTTATGATTTTTCCCCCAATTTTTTTCTTCTTTCATTTAGATCACAGGCCATGAACGTGCACTGCAAATGTGCAGTGCCTATGTGGCTGCCTTTTTTTTATCACCTGCACATGCGAGAGTTGAACCAGACCGCTCGTAACATAGTTTGAATTGTGCTAAAATATGCTGTGTCCGTTCTTCTGATCGAAGCACATGTGAAATGCATGAGACCGTACCGGATGGGGTGGTGTTGGCCGTGGGAGGGCGGCGCAGGGGTCTGAAACACCTGTTACATATTACCATTACAGACTTTGATCAGTGTCTTCATTAGTTCCCTTTGTAATCGCTTTTCTTTTATGGTAGAACTGACCCAAGTAAGCTGGTCCTGTGATTTAACACACATGTTTCTTTCACCTGTCTTGTAAAATACTCAAAAGCTCTCCCACTTTCAAAGATGTCAGCGTGTCTGGTATTCCTAACTAATAAAGGATGGGGGTTCTTTTGATTCCTATTTATAACCTACATTTCCTCTCATCTGTCTTGATTCTCCAAGGGGAGAATATGTTTGAAAAATGTCCTTGAAATGGTTTTCTGAAAACCAGATCCATGTGCATGATGTCTATGATTTCTCACCTGGACATATGCCTGCATATTGTGCCTCTTTAGGACTACTACTGTGAAAAAAGTCTCATGATGTTGTAAATCATTTATTTTCCAGAATCTTACAATGTCCCAATCTGCCTACATCCAGCCCCTATCACCCCAATCCATCAATATAGTGTGTTCCTTTTATGTGTCAAACTATCAGTCTCAGTCTTTTCAACATAATTTATCTTCAAAGTTAATGTGAACGTTTTTGGCTTACTTTATGAGGTCTTTTGCTCTGTGACTGAACATAATGTATAGGTCCTTAAAGCAGCCCCAATACTTTGTACTGTACTTCAGAAGCTTGGTTTCTGAGTCCATCACTGAAGGGCTGATGTCTGACTCCTCATTGTTTCCATGGCAGAAGAATTATTGGCGCTCAATTGGGCCTATGAATTATTCACAGCACATAACCTGGTCGGCCATCATGCTATGAGTAAAACAGCTTACCACTAACGGAGCAGCACTTCTTATCTTGATCCAATGCATGTCCAGTGGAGAAAACCTTTATCCTTGGATTCATGGATTTCAATTTGACACGTGCCTCAACATTTCTTCAGACCAATCTCCCTCCCCTTAGATATTCTCTGCTCGGTCCTCCAAATATTTCAGCTTGACAAGCTCCCTTTAACATGTACTGTACTCTCACTTTTAACAAACATTGTGATGACATATGGGTCTTCAAGACTGAATTATACTCAGAGATGTTCAATTATACAGTATTTGCTCCAAGATTTACCTGTTCTGAGTTGCATAATGTACATTCATTTCACTTTAGGAAATTAAGTACTGTACGCTGTGTCTTTATTTATATTCACTGGATACACTTTAGAATATCCAAACCTAGGATTGTTGAGGCAGCAAATCAGCTTTCAGAGCTGGCACATGGCACCCTGGCCACACGTGAGACATTTTTGTTATATAAAACTATGTAAATGAAAGCAAGGCTAGCTATTTTAGATACTTTAACAGATTAATAACCATGTTTTTTTATTCTATGAATTAGTTCTCAGGAGGAAAGTGACAGAAATCTATTTACTGTTCCTTATCTGTGGATATTTCTGTAGTGTTCAGAACGCTTGATTTCCGTACTGTTCTAAACACTTTCTTTATGTTCTGGTCTTGTCAAATTCATTCTTCCGACAATCATTTTTCTCACACCCTAATAGTCTGTAACCTAAGGTCACGCGTAAAACTCTCATTCACGTGTTCTGACTGTCTATCATCATGATGGAATCCTTGTCAAAGAGGAGAAAGCTCTTTGGATCTTTTTCGTTTGATGCTCTCATTTGAGACTCTGTGAACAATCATAATGTACAGGCTCTTTACATAGAGGCAAACCAATTACCTTCCTCAACAGTGCCTGTCATTTGTCTTACAGTGAATCAGGTTTTAATACTGGTACCTCTCCTCTGTCTGACCTGTGGAGTTTGGCAGAAGACAAGGTCACAACTGTACACACTCTGATGTGGTATCATCTGGTATGAAGAGGGGAAACGAATCACTTTGAACTTGCTCTATCATCATGCAGCCCTTTAGACTGATCTGGTCAATGTGTTTGCGCTCATGGTGTGGTTATGTTTTCTGTTACTGCGCTTTGCCTCGGCTCAGGATGACCTCTTGACAAGGTTTCCTTTTAGTGATATAATGAGGGTCTAAAAAAAAAACCAAGGGAGAGTTAAAAGAACAAAACATTTTTGCCAGATTGTTCTAAAATGAAGGAAGACTGGGATCATTGTGTCGTATTCATATTAAAACCAGAGCTCTGAGATCAACTTCCCCCCATGCTTCAAATAATTCTATACCCTAAAAATCTAAAATACAATAGACAGCCCTCATTGTGAGCAACATCTTGAGTATGCAGGAGTTTCAATGCATCGCATAAAAATCATAATTGCGTTATCAATGTCTGGTTACGCTACGGCAGAGAGAGGAAGTGAACCACGGGGAAAACTTAAAACAGGACTGCAAAGCATTGTTCTGTACCACGCAGGACCTCTGGTGATGGTACTGGTAAGTATTGTAAACAGCATTTTTCATTGACCACAGTGGAGGCCTGGGACTATCCTCTGTGTTGTTCTGCCTCTGCGAAGACAAGCTTGTTTTTGATTTTTATTTATCCTGAATGAGCATATGGAGCAAGTCTGCACCTCCCCTGTTTGCTAACCTTCAATGCCTAGCCTCAGGAAGCTGTTATTTGTCAGTACCATAAAGCAGATTGCTGACCGGTGGTTTCAATTAACATCAAATAGCTCCTTACAGGCATTAGCAGTTGTATCAAAACCTGTAATGCAAGTTTTAGGTCATGCGCTAAGGTCCTCCAAATCATTATGACCTTGTTCAGAAGATTTGTCTTTTCCTGTGGACCTTTTTCTATTACAAATACCCCACTGCCTTTGTCTGGTGTGTCTGAAGCATGCACATCTTAAACAGCCTTTTCTACATCACAAGGTTACCTGTGTGGCTCACACCTGCTTCCCTATTAGTTGCAGGGAATGAAAATGTGGCTCTAACATTAAAACTGGCTGGCAGAAAGGCATATTTAGATGTGAGGGAACTGTCATTTAAGTCAATTAATAAATTATGTTGATTGAGTGCTAACAAAGAAAATAAGCAAGAATAGTCTTTATACATGCTTATACTTGCTTTCTGTAATTTAAGAAAAAAGATGGTAATGAATGTGGGAATTTGCTGCTCATATGACTTATGTGATGAGTCAAAAGATTTAAATATTCCCTCTGTGTTTATTTCTCATTTCGATTAATTATCAAATTTCCTTTGATTCTTCCTTGTGTTCCTCATTTTGGTTGCAATTCTCTCTTCTTCCTGGTTTCCTGCAGCTTTCACATTTTCGTTTTTTTCTTGTTTCTTAATAACTTAAACTTAACTGGTTGTCAGAGATTTAGGTTTTGAATTAGTTTTTCAGAAACCCTTTTTTTTATATCAATAGCGTAGAGAACAGAGAGTGAAGCCAGATTATTAATGACAGCAGTGTTGGGACTTAAGCTTTTGACTTTGTGTGTGTGTGTGTGTGGCTGGAATCGTTAAAACGCCTGCAACTTCATGGTCAAGACTTCAAGCGAACAGCGGGGCCTTTTAAAATGGTTCATAAGTACAAACACGATTCGATACATGTTCATTAAGCCCCAATAAATGGCTATATACCAGTGCAGGAAAGAGCCCTGGGTTAGTGAACAAAAAGAGCGTGCAGCCTTAGTGTAAGATGTGGTAAACGTCCTTCCTGGGTATCACTTCCAGACACCAAAATGAGGAAGCGCTTTGCCATTGCTGTGACTGAATACCCTGATCACTGAGCACTTTTATAAGAAACCCATTAAAAGTGAGGTTTCGACATACAAAAGAGCCCCTGTTTAAATCTCACGCACATTGTCAAGCTGAAAGACATCATAAAACTCCATACGGAAGCAAACGATCATTGTGTGCGTCCTCTCCTCCATCAGGAGGGAGAATATCTTTTGTGGAGGGAGACGTGACCTTCTCCTCGGAAGAAACCTGTGCCCCACAGCTCAGTGCCGAGCTGCAGATTAATCACACATTTGTTCAGTGGGACACAATCACCCACACTGGTCTTAACTTTTAACAAAGACGTCCGTCTAAAATATGCTGATCTGTCAAAACACTCTGCGATCTAAGAAAATAAGTCTCTCTGAATAGGTCCAGCTGAGGTGGACACAATGGCCCAGTGTGACCCCCTCCTCCCACTTGCTCTTGACAGTGTTTATAAAGTGCCAACTCCTCTCATTAGCTCTCCCATTACCCCAGAGTTATAACAGGCCTGCAGATCAAACGCTGCCTGAGCTAACAATGGCTGATATGGCATTAATATGATATGTAAGAGTTCAGCGAATATCAAGAAAGTTCCCTTTGATGAGGAC